CTAAATGTCAGGGGTTAAAAAAATCATCAATTTTCATACAGGGATTTTTCATTTTGTAGTTTGAAAGCTAAGGCCACTTACACATATAAAGGGCATACTTTTGAAGACAGCAGTGTGGTAAAGCAAAGGATTTAATTATATCCCCTTGTTAATTTAGATGAACTTCAAATTATAAAGTGCTGGGCATCAGACAGGATGGGAGAAGAGAGAACGAGGTAAGATGGGGTGTGGTGGGAGACAGACAAGGAGACTGCCAACTCCAGGGTACCCCAATGGGGTGAGCATTCAATTCAAAATCCTACTGCAGTGCAATATTTGGACTGTAGTTCATGTCCAAGCTGATAAATGGAAATCCCATTTTCAGATTTCCATTTCTGATAACAGGAAATACTGGAGTCAGAAATTGTTAAACTCTGATACTTTTCCGCCTCGTTTTAAAGTTGACTCCCCATAAAAATTTGTATTTTTATAGCCCCTTGCAACCTGAGATTCAAAATGATCTATAACATTTCTGAGCAGAAGAAATTTAAGATTTAACAGACCAAAGCCACTTGGAAAGTACAAGTCAGATCTAGAAAATCTAATTTTTTTTTTATTTCCACATGGCACTGTCCCCTCCACTTTCCAACCTGCACAGCTTCATATTCCTTGGTTTGTTTTTGACTCACCTTTTTTGCTTTCCGTCCTCCCATCCATGCATCATCTGGAAAACAGAAAAGTGCTGTCCTGGGGTGAGCATGTCTGTAGGCACTTGGCATCAGCTGTGCTCACGCACCCCAAACACAGGGACCCAAGTAATCACACTCAGACCTCAGAACCAGGACAGGCTCATTCGGGGCACCAACATTTCCCAAGGGATCCCGGTAGGGCAGACTTTCCTGTCCCTGCATGAGAGGGGGAAAAATAGTCAGAGATCATCCAAACAGGCGGATGAGCTACAAAGCAAATTGAATTTGCCTTTGAAATGTGTTTTCCGATTTCCACACACTTCCTCTGTCCTAAGGCAAGCGTGAGACTCACACAGCAGTGGTGGGGTATGAGGGTATGTGCTGTTGCCGCTGCTCAGAGGTGGGAAAGGGAAGGGCTGGAAGGCAGGCTGGAGGCATGTTTGGATGGTTCATACAGAAATTCGAAGACTGAAGCCATCTGTCTACATGTTATGGAGACTCTACTGCGTGTGATCAGCTGCTGAGGATAGCTTTCTTCCTCTCTGGGCTCTGGTCTGAATGCACAGTGAATTTTTGCTCCTAGTAAAGACCCCTTCATTATGAAGAGTCCCAATAGCCTCTTTTGTTATTATAAGACTTAGTAATGACTTTGCAAAGGGCTGTTGTGTGTGTGTGTGTGTGGGGGGGGGAGGGGGAGGGAATTGGGGGCAGGGAGGCCAAGGAAGAAGGGTAGAGATAGTAAAGGATGCTGGTTGTTTCTGCAGCCTGACTCTTGCCTAAGGATCCTTTTTATTTTGCCTGTCACTAAATTATTTCAACAAACTTGTTGCCCCCATTCTTCCAGTCACTTTCATGTGCCTGCAAGCTCATCCTAATCCATTCAGCACAGCCACACTAATCATGGGGAAGGAAGAGAGCTAATCAGTGTTCTCTCCATTCCATCCTGTGCACAGGGAGCCGTCAGCATCCCCTGCATGAAGTTTAAGGGAAGGGTCTTCGGAGACGTGAACAGAAAGAACTGGAGATTTCATTAAAGGTAGGACCAGCCCCCATGACACTACTCAGAGCAGAGCAGTTAAGAGCATTCTGTGGGCATGCTGCCTTGGTTCGATTCCCAGCTCTAGCACTCTCTAACTATGTGGTCTTGTGACAATTACTTAACTTCTCTGTGCCTCAGTTTCCTCATCTGCAAAAGCAAGCTATCAATCATGACATCCACTTTATAAGATTCTTGGAAGGATTCCAGGCATTTAGGAATTAGTATAATGCTTGGCACTTACCAAGGGCTATATAAAATAATTCAAAAAAATGTTTGTATGCAGCAGCATACACAGCTTAGATACATTCATTCAACTTCATGACAAAATGAGTGAAGTCATCAGGTTATCCTCACCTACAAAGAATATAACCAACATAGGGAGTAGGGTAGCTTTGGGTCTCCTCCACACTCACCAGGATCAAAATCCAGAGTTCTGAAATCATAGTATTGAGACTACTATTAAGCAGTTAAGCATTAAGATGTTTTTTTCCAGGGAGTCTGGAATCCCATCCTGCTTGTGACATCCTTGCTGGCCTGTCTACCAATAGCGTGTTTCAGTGAGTGGCTCCCAGGTTCAGCCAAATCACCCAGCAAAGGACGCTTGTCAATACTGTTTCCCGGTGATCTGGGTTAGGTTTGATTCAGGAGACAGGAACAATAAAAACCCTGAAGCAGGGGTGGGCGAGGCCCTCTTGTTCTTTGTTGAGCAGAAAGGAACCCTGGGGCAGCTCTGGGGAGCCAGTGGCAACTCCCAAGGGCTCTGGTTTTGGATTTGGCCCCTGGCAGACTGGGAAGCCTGTGACCATCACTATATGCTGTTACTACATCTGTGGCTTGGCACTCCCAACTGTGGAGCAGTTTTTAGGGGTGCCCAAGGACCTCACTTCTGGTTAGGTCTCCCACAGACACTCAAATCCTTCCCCACGCATCCCTGCACTGTGTAGGCTCAAGGAAACTGATTTGACTTCCAGGAAGAAACTGTGACCCCAGAATACTTACGGCACCTGAGGCCTGGTTGGAAGCTGCAAGGTTTAACAAAGCTTGCTGCCTAATGATCAGAAAGGCCCAGCTGCCTCAGAGCATGGAGTGACCTTTGACCTTGCTCAAAGCAAAATGAGAAGTGCTGTCCTTCTCATCGTTGGCATTTCCCCAGTCCTTCTCAGAGTGAGCTAAATGTCATGCTTCATCCATTGGTCGATAAGTCGTGTTTATTGAGCTGACAGCATGTGCATGCGGGCGTGGGGGAACTGCAGCGAACCGCTGATGAGAAGGAAAAAACAACCTGAGTCAAATGTTAGAGTTTATGCACAAAGAACAAGACTCACCCTCAGCTAGCTTGTCACTGCTCTTGCCAGGCTGGTTGCTTGCCAGGCCTGCTTTCTTAAGGGCTCTACAAGGAAATGGCACCAGGAATACCCAGGACCAGGAAGCCCTTTCTTTACGCGCTGCTGACCTCTAGAGGCCTCCAATTAAAAAGCATCCCAAAGGACCCACCTAATTTTACTGCCAGTTCCTACATCGCACGTTGACTTATTTTCCTAGAAAATAAGACAATATCTTTGCTCTTTAACTGCTACTTAAGAGGAAATGCCTCACTTATTCTTTGACTGCCTGGTTATAGCTTGCCCAGATTTGTATAAAAGGCATTGTTTTCTGCTCTAAAAAGGGAATGAGCTAGGTTGGAGACAGGAAAAGTATTTCAAAAGTTATTTGTCTACTATGGAACCAAGGGGAACAGTACAGTGCCAGTTTGTTCAGGGTGTGTTTCTTGACTTTCCAAAGTACCACAGGGCCAGGTCTTCCAAAGAGAGAAAGCAATTCCACTCAGCCCAACTCAACAGGGCACCAGGCAAAACCACCTGCCAGGCTGTCTGGCATGCACATGGCAAGCCCCTACTCCAGCCCCGGTGCAGGGCCCAAACCCTGATGCTGGGTTTTGCTTTGCTTACTTTGTCTTACTTGAACCCACGTAGTCCACAAGAGCACCAGGGACGATGAGATGTCCAAGCTGGTCTGACTCTGCTGTGGAAACCAGACTGTTTTACACCCCTAAGCAAAACACCCACATCATCCTATCTTGTTGGAGCTTTTTATTCCACATTATTGGTCATAAAATGAAGGAAAGTACAGGAAGGCAACAGAAAGCATTCAGGGACATGAGCATTTAGGTTCATATACAATTACTCTGTCAGCTGGGGTCTTTATTTCTAAAAGGAATCCTAGGGAAGATGAATTCAAAATCGGAAGAGAGTTTTGCCAAGATCAATCACCCTGGCCAGCATTTTCCTTTATAAACAGCCTTCCACCCTCCTGAACTCAACTAGCCAAGACAAGTATAGTCCTACAACACTAGAGCCCGAAGGAAACATAGAATGAGCCCATGTTCTTATTTTTATAAATGAGGAAACAAAGGGTGTGGGGATAGGGAGGAGGTGACATGTGTATGATCACACATCTGGCCAGGGAGGACACCGGGCTAGAAACTTCTCCTCCAGCCAACTGATTTTAGAATAATTCATGCAAGGGAGAACCTGGGCATTTCTAGAGTCTAACACCCATTCTTACACTTAGAGGAGCCAAGCTGCACTTTCAGAAGTATGTCTGTGAGAGCAAATAACTAAGGAATTTTCTGAGAGAAGGGCCATTTGGAGCCATGCCTACCTGGCCACAGTCCAGTACCCAGGATCAAGTGAGGACTGGAATGCTTGACACAGCCCTCCACTCAGTGCCATCTCTGAGAACAGCCTTACTGAAACCCAAGAACCACAAATTCGGTTATGTCATACACACACACACACACACACACACACACACACACACACACACACACACACACCCTGAGCCATGCCGATCACAGCACTCTCAAATCTAATGTAACAATCTAGGGAGAACTATTCACTTGGAGAAAGAAACTTGCTCTTCATGGAGTAATGGAACTTATCACCATTTGCAGATTTAGTCTTTAAATGTCATTGTTTACTGAGTAGCAATAACAGGGAGGGAAATAGCGGGGAATTGCTGTGGTGTTGTCATAGAAAGACTATCGAATTCTAATTGGTGCCACAAGATTCCCAATTAGGAGAGAAAAAATGGAGTCCTCGTCTATCAAGTTAAAGCCCTAGTTTAAAGGAAGAGTGGAAAATTACAAAATCACAGCTACAGCATCCAAACAGTCATAGCCATGTCTCAAAACACATCAAGTATTAAAATTTGAATCTTAAGTCAGTATTTCGTGTCACCTCATCCTCCCTCTCTCCCCATATCCCTCCCCCAGAACCCCAGGCCCAAGACTGCAACCACAAAGTTAGCTGATGGTCTTTATTCCTTGTTCCTCATTATCAATCTTCCAGGACCAGACAGTTCTCGGGTGTAAAAAAGAGGCAAACATCACCAAGTTTGGAAGGCTCTTTAATAGCAAGCGGATGGTAATTACATTGTTGGATGAGATCCTCACTCAGGGGAGGGAGGAAGGAGCAGATGTGGACAGGGTTCAATAAAGGGTTTTTACACTGCTGGAAGCGTCTAAGGAAGGGCAACAAGTTTTGGCAACCCATTTCACAGTTTTGTAATTTACAAGAGATTTCTCTGAAAGGAAATATAAAGGCAAAGAAAGCATCCACACCCTGCATGAAACATTTCTTGCCTAAAAAACAAAACAAAAACTGTTCCTTGCTTTTTCGTCTCATGTAGATGGCCAATACACAGATTAAGACTGGTTCACAGATAGTTTCTGATTTTCCCTAGAATAGACCATTTATTTTTCCCTCTAAAAAGCTAACATCTGTTCAGAGTATTATCTGTGTCTTTATCTGCCTAACTATTAGAAGATACTTAATAAAAAAGGAACCTTAACAAAAATACGAGGAAAAAAAAAACAGGAAAAGGCAGTTTTTACAAAGAACAGACTGCCAGCTTTCTCTGCAGAATTGAATAACCTAAAAACATTGCTCAGCAAATTAAATGTTTATTTTTATGTGGCCTGGCACGCACTTTTAAGTGCCAGTGCCCCTCAGCCTTACAGTGCTTTAACTGGGGTTTCTAACAAAAAAATGGTCATAGGTCCTCTACTTACATAACCCAAATTTGAAGAAAAATAACCAAAGACAACATATTATTGAGCAATTTGCCCAATGGGCATGAGCTATAGATATCTTACCATGGACACCGTGTTGCCATGGACACCAGAGGCTACTGGCATTCTGGCAAGTTTTAGAATTATTTTGTATAAAATGTGAAAGACTTCGGCCTTTCATGTCATTCTTGGCATAACAAAACCAAGGTAACTGATTGGATCTTTATGAAAAAGGATTTACTTTTTAACTCTTAAGAAATTTTGGCTTCACTGGTAATCTGAAGACTAAGCAGTTGGCAATGGCATCTCTTTGGAGTTAATACTCAATAAAGGGAAGAGGGACCTGTGATCCACTTGAGTTTTAATTGTGCTCTTTCTACAATCCTGAGCCAGGTAGAGTAAGGAGGCTCGGCCCTCTGGCCCTCCGGTCATCCCTGACCCACGGTTCCCTCTACAGCCAAAGGCCAGATCAAGTTTGGGCCCTGTTCTGCTGCCAGGTGACTGAAGCCCTTGAGATCTGTCGGCACTTTGGAAAGTGGCTTCTCTGGCTCAGAGTGGTTTATCCAGGGGAAAAAAACACCACTAGCTTTGTAAAACACCCATTGTCTCCATGGCTGGGACTTCTTTTAATGTCACAAAGCCATCTCCAATACGCCTCCCAACACACGTGCAGTACCTTTAAGGAAAGTAGTCTCCTGGCAAGTTTTTCTGTGCTTTACATGCCTGCCTCCTGTTAGAGTAGGGCCCGACCTCTCAGACTCCCTTACTCATCTCCTCCCAGCCCAGGTTAAGTCCTGACCATCCCTACGTGCCTCTCAAATCATAGGAAATCAAATCTGTTCATTCCAGTTCCCCCACTTGTAGATTTTAATACGCATAGCAGATTCCTGAAATATAAATTCTGACGGAGTTCTGATATCACAGCTCCCCGAGGTCCACACACTTTGTGCTCTTAAGAAACAGAAATGATATTCAGAGACATAATTGTGCAGGAAAATGGCTTCTGCTTAGATGTGAAATATAATAATAACTGAGACAAGGAGATGTTCACTTAAGTACACTGGAAACCTAATTCTGGCACCAGGACACAAAGAGAATTCCTAAATTAGAGACTGTTTTATGTTTCAGTCATGGGTAAAAAGCACTATGTGCTGCTATGAGCTTGGGGACACCCCAGTGTAACTAAATCAGATGGTGGCAGGCACTGTGTGGGTCTCCCTGCCTTCTCAACTCTGTGATTCTCTCTCAAGACCCTGAAGCCTGCTCCGTATCAGGCAGAGAAAAGTAACCAGGCAGCCATAAGAAAAATACCTCTGCAGTTCACTCAACCCAGGATCAGGTTTTGCATCGTTATCAGAGGTGTGAAGTCACAGCTGGCCCACAGTGACCAACAAGCAAGCAGTCATTCTGCCAGGTGCACACATGCATGTGTACACACACACACACACACACACACACACACACACTCTTATTCTCTATTGGATGACCTGGCCAAAGAGTAATAGTGATCATCTTTCACTCTCTTCCACTTATTCTTGAAAATGTCCCCCCTTTTGGTTAAATTAAACTTAGTCTGTTTCCAAAGCCCCAGTCTGCCAGCACACAAAGAAAAGCTATGCCTTCCATAGGCACAGCATGGGCACTGGGACAAGAATGTTCTCCTCTTCTAGGGCCTCATTTTACCCTTTCCTAAAGAACAGCATGTCAGCAGCTCCTTGGGTTTGGGCCCAGTAGACTTGGACACTCAGACCACCAGAAACATGTTCTGTGTGCTCCTATGGCCAGGAGCCTCAGGATAGCACCTTGGCAAAATTCAAAACATACCTCCTTGCCATTTTCCTACAAGTTTCCTTGATTGTTGCTCTTCATACACAAAATATCATAAGGCAGTTATGGAAGGATAGTGGTTAAAGCTGGAAGACCAAACACCCTTGTTTCTGGCAAATTAAGTGACTTGCCCATGGTCACGCAGTCATTGGCAGAATCAGACTAGAAGCCAGGTCCCTCTCCTAATTCCTGGCTCAATGTTTCTCCCACTGGGCCACACTGCCTCTTGGTTAGTGTGTCTCTGTGTTTATGAAAGTCAGGAACTTGTCTAGTCATGGATTCATTTCCATAACAAAACCACAGCTGCCAGACTCACTAGTGACCTGGGGAAGCTCTGCACGCACTCGGCTCTAATAAAGAACCCCCAGAGCAGGTGGGGTGAGTGTGCGCACATGTACACTCGTGTAAATGAGCATTGGAGGGAATGTGTACCTGGAAAAAAGGGAGTTTTAGAGAAAACAACCCAATTTGCTAATGCTTTTGCGGATGTTGCTATGAAAATAAGTAACACATAGCTAGGTGATACCCTACACAGGAGCAGAACAAAGACCAGTTTCTCTTCCGCCCACTGAATGGCTCTCTCAGCTCAACTTTCAAAACAGAGAACATTAACATAATAACACCGATATGTATTTGGTCAAAGTCTAAACATTTTTTTGATAAAATATATTTCATATTAATGATGATTCCATTTTTCAAATATATGTAAATTTCAATTTTAAGCCTCCACATATAAAATTCCAGTTTACCTTTGAATGGAACAAGCTAGTCAAGCTTATTTCAGTTGCGGGAGTCATTCTTGCCTATTGTAAAAACAGATGTGACCCAGCCTGGGTGATGTCTACAGACGGTACAGCTCACAGTCACCTGCACTCAGGTATGGAGCCAATCACCACACAGGCAAGGCAGCAAAGCACCGAACTCATTAACCCCACTGGACAAAATACCAAGGTTTGCTTTGTTAACAGGCTACTTAGAAGGAAATTCATTTTACTTGAAAGGAACCTTTAATGTCTTTCCAAAAAAGAAAAAATGTAGGTACTTAAACACAGATGGAAACCACTATACTATTATACCCCATGACTTCAAACCTCAGTACACTGTTTTACCACGAGTAGCCTCCGCCTTCACAGCACCAATCGATTAAAGAGAAAAGGTTGAGATCATCAGATTTACACCGACATGCCTGGAAGATATACAAGACTCCCACAAGCTCTATGGCCTCTGCTGCTGCTGTTTTGTTTTTTAAACCCAAAACTGTGATGACTTTTAATCAGGCATGTGTGTGCATGTTAAAAACAGCCTCCCCCAGACGCTATGTTTAGTCAAGTGTTGTAAAAGAGGTATTCCGCACCCTAAACTATTAGAACCAGAGGCGGGCAGGTCCAAGAAAATGAACGTTTTAAATAATTCCATGTTAGCGTCACAAAGGGTTTCCCCCATTAGTATTTGTTGGCTAAATGATGACAGCACGATTTCCAGTTATTATAGCAGTTGTTTCTGTGAACTGTCTTGAGTATTATGCTCATTAAAACTTCCTCTCTGAAACAAAGTAACCCATAAAAGATTCCCACTTTTGTATCACTTTAAAAATTCACTGTCATTAGGTTCATCAAAGTGTTTGATTACAATTTTTCAGTAAATTATACAGTGGGATCCTTTTTTTTTAAGGAATAAAAAGATTAAGAAAGTAAAGAAGGATTTATCATTAAAAAATTTCATACTGGTTTATTTTTCTATTAAATTTATCTATGGCTTGAAAGTTTAAGTGGCACTTGGACTTAAGATGTTTTCATGATTTAACAAGTTGCCATATGATTATAAAGAGAGAAGGTAAATGCCTCTCATTTCATATGTGGGACAGATTATAAACATTTCAAAGAAATCAATAATTTATGTCTTTCACCCCGTTTATATTTTCTAGACTTTAAAAGTGGCTTTGGAATTAGCATGTTTTCAAACAACCGAACATGCAAGTAATGTTTATACCTAAGTTGAACCAGTTGCTACATGTGTAGGTAACCTGGTAAATAGCAGAACACTTAAAGGCTTCTTGCTCTCCCCATCCCAAACTAAGTGATTGATTATCCTCTCCTGCCCTTGGATTTGCACTTGTGCAGCTTAATGACTAGATATTAAAACTCATGCTTTATAAGCAAAACCGTTCACTTACAGACACTTAAAGGTACATAAAAAGTGCAGACTGCATTTCTTCTCTGCCATGCTTTCCCTCAAAACATACCCTTAATACATTCAGAGTTCTCTACATTCACATAAGCGAATGTTAGTTCCCCAACATAAACTCAAGAGAGAACAGTCAGCCACAAAATGGACTCTAAATTCAAAATGGTAAAGGCTACCGACACAACTCCATAGAAATCCACTGAAACGGGAGTAAAATTCAGTTATTTCTGAGCAAAGGTCATCCCAGATATTTTGTGGTTGTTAAAAAGGTATTTCATTTTAATTTGGATGCTGGGAGTCAGGCGTCCTGTTTCTTCGAAGTGCTAATGCAAAATGCTAACCCAGGAGCACCGACCCCACCTTGCAGACCCAGAGGCTCCCTTTGCTGCTTAGGTGGGAGCCTTCAGAAGTTTACTGCTGACTGACACCCATTTGGGGGTGGTCCGCCTCTGGCTCCTCTTCTTCAACATCTGCACTGTATTCTTCAAAGGCGTCATCATCTGCATCAGGAAGTCCCAGTAGCTACAGCAGAGAGAAGAGAAACTGTGAGATGAGCATCAGGGCTGCGGGCAAGAAGATGGTCCAGGAATCTACCTGATGCTAAAGTCCTAGCAGGACTCCGTGTGGCAGCTATGGATTTCCCATGGGGTTTAACTACCCCCAACCATTATAAAGTTATAACCAGAGGCCTAGGTTTTATTGGGAAGACTGATGGTTCTCTGCTTTTAAGTCTAAACAAAACACCATGTACCTCGCACTGAGGCACAAAGGTATAATCTCTATGCACATGCACGTGTGGAATGCTAGCAGCACCGCAATGGGTAGTTCTGGATCTATTCCCTTTTGCATTTCCCCCTTGCTACTGTTTATCGCATACATATAAAGAGAAATGACTAAAGTCTTCAACAACAAAATAGTTAAATTATGGTATATCTGTAAGACGAAGTCCTATATAGACACTAAAAATAGTAATTTTGAATCATTTAATATTATAAAAAATATGCTCCTAAGAGAAAAAAGAGCATAATAAAAATTGCATTTTCATTAGGATTCAGATTTCCTTAAAATTTATACACATAGGCATAAAAGAAGACTTCAATGAAATACATCCAAATGCTGAGTATTTTTTATACAGTGGGATTATGGGTAAACTTTTCCCTTTTTAATCTTTTTGTGTTTTCTGAATGCTGTATAATTATCACCAAGGAAATTCACAGTAAACATTTTCTCAAAGCACTGACTGGTCTTTGGTTAGAAACTCTTGCAGTGCCATTCACAAGGCCTGATCAATATGAACAAAAAGCTCTCACGCTGGCAGGGAGCCATGACCTTGGGTGCTCCTGGGCCTTGTCCGCCATCTCCCTGCTTCCATCCCATAGTGCCACTGTGAGATGGATAATCTGCCTGTGGCCAGAGGAGTTACCCACGTGGTGCCACAGACATCTCCTGTCTCGCCCGCTGCTCCCTTCAGCGGTGTATTTCAGTAGATCTGCCTGTTCTGCTCCCCACTGTGTCTCTGGTGAATCCTCTCACCCCCTGCACCTCTGGCCTACACCCCAGTTTTGTATGCATAAATTTTAAAAAATACAATGCAATAGTCTTCCCCTGATTCTTATATATTCGAAGACTCCAAGTGGATGGCTGAAACTGCAGACAGTACAGAACTCATATATACTATGTTTTCTCCTGTATATACATACCTATGATGTTTAATTCATAAATTAGGCATAGTTAGAGGTTAACAACAATAATAAACTAAAGCAATTACAACAATATACTAAGAGTTACATGAACACAGTCTCTCCCTCACTTTCAAAATATCTTCTTTCATAGAATATTTTCAGACTGTGGTTGACAGTGGGAAACTGAAACTACAAAAAGCAAAACTTTGGATAAGGAGGGGACCATCATATGCAAGAGGGGACCATCATATGCAATGTTAATGTCTACATTTATGAGTGTGTACAATTTGGAAGTGCAGAGATGAGAAGCGCTAGAGCTAGCTGTATGTAAATCATACAGATTTGCAACAATCTAGCAGTCCCACTTCTGTCTCCACTGCCATCTAAGATGACTAAGTTTAATTTAGCGTCTGGATCCAAATTTTAACAGTCAATAAGACATATCAGCGACAAGAGTAGATAGAGACTGGTAAGAATCCTGGAGTCCTTGCTTTTATGGCACCCACATCTTTAAAGGAAAAGGCGACAAGCAAAAAAAAAAAGCCTGCTTACATTGAAATTATTTCTGATCATTATAATCATTCATTCCTATTTCAGTAAATTTTTTTCAATTGACCGAGAAATAAATCTTAATGCTCAGTCTGCTCAACATTATGGGCATTTCCAGGGTCTTGCTGTCCATAAAGCTCCTTTTGAACAACCTGTGATCACATAAAAAGGCTGGAACTCCCCCATCCAAGCAGGGTTGTACTTGAAAGGGAACGATGCCAAGCCTTGAGAGTTAAAGTTCTTCAGACCCAAGAGTATTGATTATTTGTAAGCTAATTCTTTTAGAAAGTGGTGAAAACTAGTTGAGGCCACATTTCATTGGCATTTACCATCTGCTGTCCCTGGAGGTGGCAGGCACTCAGCACAGCAGGCTGCAGTGTCTTTACAAAAGAGAGGAGGTGTGTGTGCCTTGGAGAGCACGGTCAATCAGCAAGGGTTTTGGTGCTTCCAGCAAGTGCCCTGTGGCCCTGGTCAAGCTCTCCCACAGGATCCTTGGAAGTACCAATTTTTAAATCTTGCTGTATATATCATTCACGCAGGGATCTACCTAAAATATAGATTCTGATTCAGTGGGTGACAGGTGGAACAGAGATTCTGTACTTCTAATAAGCTTGCAGGTAATGGGGATCCTTCTGATCCAGGATCCACACTCTGAGTATAGAGATTCTAAAGCATTGGGAGACTTTGAAGCCATTTCTCTCAGTGACCCAAGATACTGGTGGTATAGAAACTCCTGATCACTCTGTCCTGTTGATACTAGAGAAAAAAGAGGTAGGGGGGTAGGATAGCTTTAAGACCCAGGGGTCTGAGTAGTAGGAGACCTCTTACTTTTAGGGGCTACTGCATTTTCCAAAAAAGACAAGGGTTTGAATGTGTCATAATATGAACGACAAAAAAAAAAAAAAAAATCAACTTAAATTGTGAGCATTCGATGTCTTATTAAAAACCACATGTGGGGTCTCCCTGGTGGTACAGGGGCTGAGTGTTGGGTTGCAAAGCTGCCTGCAGCCTCTGCAGTATCAGTTTGATCCCCGGCCGCCAGGCGAGGGTTCCACATGGCGTGCAGACCTCCTCTGCTGCCCGCTGCTCCCCTCAGCAGTGTACTTCGTCAGTCTGCCTGTTCTGTTCCCTGTTCTGGCTCTGGTGAATTCTCTCAACCTCCCATGCTTCTGACTGTACCCAGTGCTTGTATAAATAAATAAATAAATCTTTAAAAAAACAAAAACAAAACAAAAGCCACATGTGTGTCTAATGTTTTCTGATCAGACTACCCAAATCATGGGGACAGCTTCTCACAGGTGGCTTCCTTCTCTTCCTTCAGGCATTGATCATACTCTTCAGAGTAGACACAAGAACTGGACTTTTTCTGGGTCACCAAAAGCTTTTCCTATGGGATTTAATCCCTGCTACTCAGCTGTTAGTCACAATGGAAAGATATCATTCTTGTTCATGCTCTTCAGCTAGAATGAGGGGAGTTTTCCTGGTAGAAGTGTTTTTGTTTCTTGAGAGAATAAACATGGGGTCACAAAGCGCACCAGGGAAAGATCAGGATCAATCTGAGTGAGAAAATATGGGGACCAATCCAGATAGGGTCATCAAAGCAACATTAACCAAAACAGCACACAAGCTGACAGCAACTGGTGCCCACGACCCTGCTAGGCACAGTGACGGTGAGAGGAAGGAGAGTAACATCTAGGAAAATGAAACTGAGAAGATTATTTCAGGGCGAAGACAAGGTTTGGGTTTGTAGCTACACAGGAAATGTTAGGCTCTCTTCTGAATTTTTTTTTTAACCAGTAATAAGTCTATCAGTCATTACTTAAGCTATTAAAACATTGAAGGGAAAAAATGACCACCATGGTTTGGACCTATAACCACTACTTTATTAGCTAGTTCAATCATGTGAAGACCAGCAACTGTCATGCTGAGGGTCACTTAAACAAGAAAAATGTAAGATTCCAACAATTCTCCATTTCATATTTATCAAAGTCACTGGTGGGCGTCTCTGATGCCATTATTGACCGCACTCCACAGATAAACCCACCTGCCCGCGGAGGGCAAGAACAGCCTGCATCACACCATTTACCTATGACATCCCAGAGGGAAGGGGAAAAAACTAGGTACAAGTGAGGCAGCCACAGGAGTAAAGCAGAATGTGGGTCACTCTGGGAGTGAGGCTGCCTGGCTGCATCCACAGTCACTCATCTACCCGGAAAGCATTTCCTGAGACCAGCCACCATACAGAAAGTGAGATGAACATCAGCAGGGCTTCAACAGTTCTGTGTTCTCAGTCTGATTTTGAAAGTTCCCCACAGATCCACAAGACTGGGAAGCAGGTATGACCCCATTTTAAGTTGGGGACACTGAAGTTGAGCAACCTGCCAGAAGCCACAGGATATAAGAGCCAGGCAGGCCAAGGCAGGCTGAGCCACCTCCCCTGCTAGGGTGAGGGCCTAGGGACTCTGAGCAAGGGGCTTGGATGGGTCTTTCTGGACTTTCTCCTTGACCGGTCCCCATTGAACACATCCAGCTCCTGCCATTTCTTCAAGTTTGGCCTTGTCAGAAGGCTGCAACCTGCTAACATCTGATAGTCCTTCTCATACATTTTACAGAAAATAGTTTTTAAAAAATAGCTTCTGATTATAAGTGCCTTCTGTAAAATCACAGGAAATATGGAAAAGAAAAAACAAAAATCACCTATGATCCTGTCATCCAGAGTCTCTCTGGTCACATACCTCGAAGAGATCTTATAACACTGGCATCTAACATAGGGAGTGAAATGGATTAGTTACTCAATGAATGGTTTTTCTGCCAAATCCAATGTTGATTGAACTTTTGACTTACCCCAACAATATCTTTTAAAAAATCCCTTACTCTAGCCTGATGGTGTGTTAAGCATGTGTTATAGTCACTTGAGTGTTTTTCCCTTTTCACCAAAAATCCAAGGGTCCCACAAAACAGTACACTAAATGCTACTCACTTCTCAAGAGTATTTTCCCCCAGTGTTCTTACTCCACCCATATCAATGTCAACTTTATGCAGCGTTTATCCTTACACTAAGTACCCAACAAGAATTACATCATTTAATCTTCACAGCAACCCTAAAGTAACTATGTTTTCCTAAATTTACAAATGAAGAAACAGAGAGGTTAATTAACTTGGTTAAGGTAACACAGCCAGCAAAGTGTAGAGCTGGGATCTGAATCGAGACAGCCTGCTCACAGAGTTAGGGTTCCCCATACTATAGTATTCTGATTCCACAAATTGGGTTAGGAGACCACAAACAGGTTCCCACAGTACATGCTCACAAATATCCTCTGAGAAAATATTTCCCCAAAGAACCAATGGGGCATAGTTAGCAGAGCAGGGATGGGGGCTCAGCCTCCTTCACTTATTCTGCATCGTATCTAGCCGAGCGCCTAGCCCACAATAACTGCACTGTCTTGCAGCAGGGGGTTTCTCTGTATGTTTTCCTGGCTGTCTATTCTACCAGGAAGTCAGTTCCTTGAGGGCAAGAACTGGGTGCTATGCCCTGCTATCACCCACCAAAACAGAGTTTTGGAAAGTAACAGATGATCCACGCATTCTGTTGAAATGTGCTGAAGAAGTAGAGGGAAAGAAGAGCCTTTAGAGGGTGAAAAAGAAAAAGTAAGTTTTTTTTTTGTCTTTTCAAATCTAATAGCAGATTGGGGGGAGGGACTTTGGTCATGCCATTGTTTCAGTGGGAAGAAGGCAAACAAGAGAAAGCACAGTACAAAGCTGGCACTGCCAAAGATACAGAGCATGAAGGGGCTGCTCAGCCTTGCCAGCAGCATGGCTGAGAAAAGGCCAAAGACAGATGCCACTCTTGGGTCCTTCATGCAGGAGAGCACAGGCCTCAGCTGAGTCAATGGACTCTGCTTAACTGAAGTCCCAAACACAGCAGAAAGCTGTCAACAGATAGGCCCTTATCTTTCTAGAGAGACTGCGGTGGTCAAGGGAAAACAAAGATTCAAAGCCAGGGACCAGATAGTTTCAAGATGAAGGCAAAAATATTCATCTTGCGGTTTTTCCAACTGTAAACAAAAAGCAGCTGCATAAACTGCTCAGCTCACCACAAATTTTCAGGGAAATGATGTGCTGTAGTTTACCTGCTTGATAATGTTGTAGCATTTGGGTGTGTGTTTCTTCAACAAATACTTTCAACAACTGCAGTAAAACTCCTGTGTCTTATTTCTGAAACCAAAGCTCAAACAGATGAACAGCAGCCATGAGAAGAAACACACTCTTCAGAGGAGATGACAAAGGTGTTTGCCTGAGCCTAATACTCATGCTCACAGGGGCTGGGGCATATTCTGATTCAGAAACCCAAAGCCCATAAGCACTTCACCTTCACGAGCCCTGAGAAGTTGCCTCCCAGTTGCCTCTCCCCGCAGGACAAAAAAACAAAACTAAAAACCCCACCAGAGGGCACCCAGCACACAAAAACTTCCCCCATCAGAGGGAGCGCAGGTCGAGGTAAAAGTCTCACCTTGGGAGCAAAATGCCTGCTCAGAACTTAAGGCTGCTTGAGAAATGAACCCTGGCTGCCTAATAACATTAAATCAAATCTGTGTGTCTCTTGAAGAAGCTTGAACAGAAAGGAAATACCCATCTGATCCAACTGCTTCCAGCTATGTATCTGGAGCCTTTGGAGTGCAGATTCTCTTCCTCCCCCTTTTTCATGTGACTGTCTGGTTCCCAAAATACAGCCACAGCCTCAGTAAAGAAAAAGAGCAAAATGAGTTCTGAAGGAAACTCACCTTCTCTAGTTAAGCCAATTCTGCAGGCATTTTGCTTGCCACCATAGCTGATGTCCACATCAAGGGTGCCAGGTGGCAGGCTAATGAAGACAATCCCTGCAAGCAAACCAGCTGCAAACAGACTATCATTTACTAATAGTTTTCTCTGGTTAAGATTTGGGGAAATCAGGGCCTCCCTGATGGCACAAGGGGTTAAGTCTCAGCACTATGAAGCTATTTGCAGCCACTGAGGCATGAGTTCAATTCCTGACCAGGGAGTTGACCCACATGGCACAGCAGACTTCTCCTGTCTCACCCGCTGCTCCCCTCATCAGTGTATTTCAGTAGATCTGCCTGTTGTGCTCCCCACTCTGTCTCTGGTGAATCCTTTCACCCCCTGCAGCTGTGGTCTATACCCCAGTTCTTGTATGCATAAATAAATACATATTTTTTTAAAGATTTGGGGAAATCAAATTTTCAAACATTTCACCTACCTTGGTGTCTCTATTTGGATGTCTAATAGGCACTTCCAACATTGACATGTCCCAAACTGAGCTCCTGACAGTGTCTTCCCCCACTCTTCTTCCTGCAGTTCTTCCCGTTAGTAAATGAGATGCCTTTGCTGCACAGACAGGAACTTTGGAGTCATCTTTGTCTTCTCTCGCTCTCACACCCCACCTCCACCAGCAAGTCTGGTTGAATCTACTTGCACAGCATCTTCAGACTCCACTCCTTTGTTCTACCCCCACTGTGCTCACCCTGATCCAAGCCTCTGGGTCTCATGTGGGCGACAGCAACAGCCTCCAGGCTGTTCTCCCTTCCTCCCTTACAGCCCATTCTCAACTCGGTGTTAGGAGGGAGTCTTCCAAATGTAAAAGCAGATCCCCCTGTGTTCAAACCACCCAAAAGCACCCCAAAGCTTCAAAGAAAAAGCCCAAGTTCTTCTGTGACCTACAAGACCCCTTAAATTCCTTGCACTCATCACCAGCCCCCCACACCAACTCTATTTAGGTCACACTGGCCCCTGCTTATTTCCTTCTCCTTATCACTAAGGCATCATATGCTGTACTGATTTCTTTTCTCTCTCTCTCTCTCTCTCTCTCTCTCTCTCTCTCTCTCTCTCTCTCTCACACACACACACACACACACACACACACACAGAGTAAGTTCTGTGAGGTTAAGATTTTGTCTGTTTGACTCAAGTAATAGGAACAGAGCAGGAAGCACCACCAAGTGCCTAGTGGGTACTTGCTAAATAGATATTAAATGAATGGCAGCGGGAATGACAGTATTTTTAAGCCAAACATCTCTTTTGAATGAACCAAGCTGACTTAGAAAATCAACAAACTGGAAAAATGAATTGTTTGGATGAATGAAACATCAGAAAGAGTGATAAAAGTCACTGAAATTCCATTTTGTATAACAGTAGGTTAAATAATTGCAAACAACTCTTTCCATGATAACTAAAAATACTAGATGAAGTAAGAAAAAAAATGCCTTTTTAAATATACTGAAGACTTAGGACCTACAGTAGTAAATCTAACATCAAAGTTGCTTTTGTCCTGAAGGTATTAGCCAACCTAGAGGAAGCAGCTACAAATTTTACTGCATCCTTGGCCTACTCTAAGAGCTAAGGGAAACAAAGTCAAACTCAGGTCTTCCAAAGAAACAGACTGTGATAAGCCATCCCAACTATAAGCAGAGACCCCAAAAATCTACACCATTGCTATGATCTGAAAATTTGTGTGCCCCCTCAACCAAATTCACATGTTGAAATCCTAACCACTGAGGTGATGCTATTAGGAGTTAGGGCTTTTGAGAGGTGATTAAGTCCTAAGGGTAGCATCTGAATGAATGAGGACCTCAAGATAATCTCTTTCACCTGCCATGTGAGATGACAGTGAAAGATGACTGTCTGTCTAGGACGGGGGCTCTTACCAGACACCAAATCTTCAGGCACCATGACTTTGTATTTCCCAGGCTCCAAAAGTGGGAGAAACAGATGTTTGTTGTTTATAAGGCTTCTAGTCTACAGTATGTTTTTAGAGTATCTGAATGGACAAAGACAGCTCTCCAGACAAGGATGAAGTGGAAGAAATCAGACCTGCGACTCTGGTTTTTCATCACTTGGAGAGTTCCAGTGACCACAAACCTTCAATTGTCAAAAGTGGTCTCAAACTGCTAAGGCCCCCAAGCCCAGGCAGAAGCTAATAAAAACCTTCTTAAGGTCTCCATTCATTCCTGTATTTAAATTTTCAAATATAATAACCGGCACATATAGATAATCCAACGCACAAAGAAACAAGATACCACAGTGAGAATCAGTTGAAACAAAAGACAACAAGGCAGACTTACAAACCTTGACATGCTGAAATATCAGACACGATCTACTATGCAACGAAGTCTACTATGCTCAGAGAAATGACTGACAAGTTTGAAATATTCAGCCAAGAAATAGATTCTATTTTAAGATTAAAAAAAATAAATAGAAATCCTAGAACAAATCCCAATGAATATAGATAATCTTCAAAATAAGGGTAAGTGCTCATTTTACGTGTTTATCAGCAAGAATGAAAACAAACTGTTAGCCACAGACACACAGGTTCCTACATCCTAAGGGATGAGGAGGATGCAAGGATTCTACAAGAGAGTTCATTAAAAAGAGAATAGAACCATGCCCAATCTCATCTCTCTCCATTCCCACAGGCATGGAGGTGCATCCTTTTATAGGCTTTTGGCCAAATATATGCCTCTCTATTATAAGAGACCCTCCATAACACTCCCAAACATTTTGGTTTGGAACCACTCTACTGGGTGAGAACAGGGATACTCAGTTGTCTCATAGTGGCTCTTCCCACCCTATCAGAGATTCTCAACTCAAGTGATGCTAGAAATAACCATCATCCCTGCAACAAACAGCTGTGTCACATCCCGTGGCCCCTCCCTTCCCGCCCTCAGCCTCCCTCCAGTAGCTGCTATCTCTCAGCCACAGGGCAGACAAGAGAAAAACAATTAGTCATCCCAGGTTTTGCCCACTTTCTCCACAATCCCTGTTATTCAAAACACAATCACTATAGAAAAAAAAGATGTCTTTAGAAGCCAAGCAGGCACCTACAGGTCTGAAAGACTTGAAGACTTTTTCCAAGACTTCGTGGAGCGTCTTCTTGCCGCAGGAGGAGATGTAATCCTGTGCTAGCTGCAAGAAAGGCAGGCAGTCCTCGCTCTCACTCCACACGTGCTACGTGCCCACGGGCCAGGAAAAGGAGAAAACAAAGACATACAGTATTACACTCAGTGTAAAACACAGAAAGCCAAGGATTTTTTTTTTCAATTATGTGAATTTGAAGAAGGCCTCCATTCCAGAGTAAAGTTCATATATTCATTCTTGATTTGTTTGCACTGAAGGGGATCAGAAAATGCACACCCTACAGAAACCCCCAAGCTCTTGGTCCATAATCTCACCTGTTCAGTTCCCCACCAGGTCTGCTCACACATAGTACAAGGGGCAGTGGGACCCATGATTTCCATTGTTTCCCTTCTGGTGCAGGGGAAGGAGGTTTTACAATAGGAAGGAGGAGAAATCAAGAGCCTGCCTGAGCCTTAACTTTGCCTCAACTGTGGCTGAAGGATTAATTAAGCATAGTCTGTAACCACTAACTTGGAACAAACCATTCTTTGCCCAGATTAGCCTGTGAGTGGGGTGATGATAAATTTACTTCAAAATGAAATGAACTGAGGCGAGAACACAGAAAAATCATTGGGAAACAAGGCTTTCTGCAAGGTCACTTCCCCTTAAAATGCTTTATGAGGATATCACACCCCAAACATCACCTCAATGTTAACACACCCCCCGAGGAGACTGGTTTTAGGTTTTGTGTTGTTGTTGTTTGCTATGTGAAGATATCTACTTTAGCACATCTTTAAGACTAGGCAAGTCTCTCCCACATATGTTCACAGATCTAGAATAAGCCCATGAAACAGGTTTGAGACTAGATGGAGAAGTCCGCTGCTCTGCATTTGAGCACGGGAGGGGCACTGGGCTAATGGGAGAGGAACCATCAGGGTATTTGTCTAGATTTGCTGTTCAGGAGGCCGATGAGTGACAGTTCAACACCGGTGAAAACTGTTGGAACTTGGAAGAAAGAAAGACACTTGGGAGATTACAGCAAGAAGCAGGGCTAGGCGGCAGGAGGCAGGTCTATGTGGAGGATGGTTCCTGGCCAGCACACAGTCGCGCCCTTCTACTACAAATTAATTATTAATTATTAATTATTCGTATCACACCCGGAAGTGGTATGCCTGTCATTCAATAAGCACAGTATGCTTCTGTCATTCTCATTTTTGCAGAACTTCCAGGAACTAGTCTATAAACTTAAAATACTGCTCATCCAGGAGAGAATAAGTAGGCGCTAATGTGCCATCTTTATGCCTCAATTATCTGTTTCACAAAGGTCCATTTCCCACACATGCCGCCCGTATGCCAACTGACTTCTAGAGCCGTTTCTGCCAGGTCCTAATAAAGATAACTTCTACACTGTTTAACTTTAGAGAACAGCTCAAACACGATTCCCCATTAATTAGTGACCTAAAGTTGTTGAGCTGCTGAAATGCCATTTATGTAATAGCCTCTTAAATTGCACAAATGTGTAATAGAACAAAGTACTTTTATGTCCATTCTCATACTTGATTCTTAATCAGAACAATAAAGTCCCACTTTCATAAAAGTTCTGCTCAGTTCCAGTGTATTGCAAATTATCCAAGTTAAAGACAGTATTAACATCTAAGAACACACAACAGGAAGCTTTAAGCCTGCCCTCAGACTTGTGAAGGTTAAACAAAAAGTAGGAAGTTTAATAAGTGTCTGGCTGGCACACACGGGTGTGCAACAATCCATGAACATAAGTAGCCTCTTTTCCTTTTTTGTATTCGAGGGAGGATGGGGTTTGAGAGGTTGGGCTTTCCACTGGCCCCCAAGGCTAAGGTCACATGCTGAGCAAATCAAACACCCAGTGTGACTTTACTGAGAATACTGTTCCAATGTTAGGTTACACAGTTGGCCCTTGAATAGCATGGGCTGGGGGTGGGGGAGAGAGTTGGGGCTAAAATCTGAGTATAACTTTTGACTCCCCCAAAATGTAGTTGTAGCCATCTCTTGGTATCTGCAGGGGGATTAGTTTTAGCACCCTCTCCTCAATTCACAGGTGTTCTAGTCCCTCAGAGCTGGGCTCCCCATCCAAAGTTGATTAAATGTATGAATGTGGAATCCTGGGATTGAAAAGAATTGAGTATCAGTGAACCCATCTTCTAATCTATTTTGTTCACAGGTCAACTTATAGTTCATGCAGAAGTAGGTAGACCTATGAAAAAGTTGTGTACCTGCCTTTTTTTTAAAGTGCATTTTGGGCCTCCCCGGTGGCGCAGCAGTTGAGCGCTGGGTTGCGAAACTGCCCGCAGCCTCTGCAGCGCCGGTTCGATCCCCGGCTGCTCCCCGGCCACCGGAGGAGGGTCCCACATGGCGCGCAGACCTCTCCTGCCACCTGCTGCTCCCCTCAGCAGTGTACTTTGGTCCTTCTGCCCCGCTCTGGCTCTGGTGAATTTGCTCACCCTCCCGCGCTTCTGACTGTACCCAGTGCTTGTATAAATAAATAAATAAATAAATAAATAAGTAAATCTTTAAAAAAATAAATAAATAAATAAAAATAAAGTGCATTTTGGCTTTAGGGCCTCCCTGGTGGCACAGGGGGTTAAGCACAGCACTATGAAGCAAACCACAGCCTCTGCAGCATGAGTTCGATCCCCAGACAGGGAGCTACACACATGGTGCAGCAGACATCTCCTGCCTCGCCCGCTGCTCCTCTCAGCAGTGTATTTCAGTCAGTTTGCCTGTTCTGTTCCCCACTCTGTCTCTGGGAATCCTCTCACCTCCCACACCTGTGGCCTATACCCCAGCTCTTGTATGAATAAATAAAAACTCTTAAAAAAAAAAAGTGCATTTGGCCTTTAGATGACAAAGTGAACTCAGGAAAGTATGTCACTGAAACAGTAACAGAACTGGCGCGTATCCCCTACTGCTTGGTCATCAGACAGCTTCATCAGCCAAGTGTTTCCAGGGCATCTCTAACCTCATGAGAAGACTGTTCGTTACTCCACTTTCATTGTTGTTGATTTATGAATATATCTTGGAGAAGGAAGACTTTATACCCACTAAGGGCCTTCTGTCCAGTCTGCCTAAATTTCTTTCATTTGGCTGATTGACTCACCCTGTTTTTGTGGGTTCAAAACAACAATTTTAGCTAAATCCCCGCCCACATGATAGCATGAGGGAGCAGGGGGTTTGGAATCAGACAGACCCAGGTGCACAAGGCCACTTAGAGACATCACTTATTAAAAGCTAATTGTTTCACATCCATTGTTTCTCATAACAAGAAGTATTCAGATTTATTTGTTGAATCTACTTCCTTCCAAAATTAATCAAGACAGTAAGCAAAGATCTGTAAAACATGAGATGAACTAAAAAAGAAATCTGTAGTTGGAAAAATAGAACAAAGGGAAAACACAACGGAAGGAAAATAAGATAAAACCAAATGAGATCAGGACAAACAACGCGGAATATGAGGGTCTGGCCACTGGCTGGGGTGGGTCCCAGATGTTCTACGCAAAAAAGCCCACACTCAGTGCCCTAGGCAGCGCCCACACATAAAATAAAGCAACAGCACGGGATGGGCAGGACTGCTATCTCACAGGAAAAATAGTGGGCTTATTCCATTCCCCAAAAAGGGATGGGCCAGAGAAACATCTGGCAGCAGGATGAACGCTCCTGGAAACAGGATCTGGGGTCTTGTACAAAGACAAATGGGGACTGAAGACCCAAAGTCCTGCTCCACAGGGCGTGGCTCTATGACTTCAACTTGGAAAATATTTTAAGCATGTGTAACCAAACACCCACTTGAACCATGAAAAAAGTATAGCAGAGATCAGAGAACCTCTGGCTGTGAACAATGTAACTGCCTGGCAAATAGAAATCTAGGTACAGAATGTAACAACCTCCCAATAGGGTAGAGTTAAACCAGATCACAGCCCTCGCCTGCTATAATAGGAGAAATGCCAAGGATAGGCTTCACAAAGAAGAGGAAGAATGCGGTCCTCAAGTTCCAGAACACATCACATTTACCTGGAGGCTTAAGAAAACACTGTTGCTGGGTCTTATCCTCAGAGTTTCCACTGAGGAGGGGCTAGGAATTTGCATTTCCAACTAGCTCCCTGGAGACTCTCTTAAAGAAGGTTCTGAGGACACACTTAGAAAACCACAGGCTGACCAAAACTTTAACTGACTATGCATTTGGGGTGAGGGAGCACTTTATAAATGTCATGTCATCACTGACTAAAGTCACTGCCAAGTGCCGGACAGCATGGGCTGCAGAATGACCCTGCTGTCCCTGCCCTGAGCAGCCTGCTCCTTTTCATAGATTTCTGTCTGTTAGGAGCTGAAGATCTCAGAGGAAACTTTGATTTTTAGAACATGCCATCTGTTTCCCTTCCTTCTGTTCTATTATTATCAAAGCCGGCCAACCTTAAGATAGTAGTACCACGCCATCTGCAAATAGGACAATGAGTGCCTTTCTGTTTTCTATAGTGGAGAGAACATTGAGCCTAACCAAAATGGTATGAGATCATTAAGGTATTAATCCTGCAAATATTTTTTGAGCACTGTCTGCTCCTATAGTTCTAACACTAGCAGAGATGGTGCTTGGCTGCCTGGTGCTTCGGCAGGACGGAGGTGACAGAGGAGTTAAAAACACACCCATTTCTCCTCCTTGAACTCAGTTGTCTGAGACCAAGGGCCGCGGCCAGGGGTCTCACTCTCACTGCAGTACATGGGTTTCGGTTGTCATCAGTAGCAGGGAAGTCCATTTCCAGCTGGCACAATTTAATCCCAAACTGACAGCTGTCCTCCTGGTAGAGGATGAAAACTACAAGCCATCTCGTGCCATCCCACGTATTTCTGTCCGCAATGGGAAAAGCATGGCTGGCCTGAGATTTCTATCAGACAGTGATCCACTTTACCCCAAGAAGGAAACTGGAGTTCTGAGAGGGGAAGCAATTTGCCTGTGGTCATATGGGGAGCAAGGAGCAAGGCGAGGATGTCACCAGAGACATGCATGTCTTCCATCTGAGCCTCAGCTCAGCATTTATTAGTCAGAGAAAACGGTAATTCTCACAGGTGTTTGTAAAGCGGAC